AGCGACTTTCCTCTTGTTTTATTTGGCTTTAGTTCTGGGTAGGTAGCATTTGTCTAGGGACAATAGTCCCGAACCCCATCCCAACGGGGGGACGCGAAACGCTGCCGAAATTTTAGTAAATTCCCCAAATTTTATTTCTACCCCTAAAAATCTTCAAACTCGGCGGGCTTATATATGTATTCATCCTTAATAAATATTAACTAAAAAAGAGATTTTATCCCAAATAAATATATTTTTTTTAATTTATAATTGGAAAATATAAAAGAATTCCCTAGAGGAAGAAGGGAAAGAGACGCTGCGGTAACCTGGGTYCGGGTGAACCTACTGGCTTGTTCCCAAGGGCCTGAGGCAAGTGACGGAAATTTTCAGTTATTAAAGTTATTTTTTTATAATTATTTSTCAAATATTCGGATTAAATCAACAGCAAGGGGTAGAAGGAAGCACGTGCATAACTCGCGGCTCGCTAGGGTTTTCATTACATCCCCCTATGCGCTGAGCGCGAGGTAGTGTTTTCTTCTTGTTTATAAGCAATTTTTATTAATTTAGACGATTATAAATCTCTTAAAATTGCGAAAAAGGCTTAAAAATTCAAAGAGTGAGTACGCTCGGCTCTTAATTTTCGGTTTTGACTAGGGGACAGGGTCCGTTGCTCGGATACCTATTCGAGGGTGCAGTAAACAGAACTCCCTCGAGTTGACCCCAAACCTTATATTCGAGGGAACTCGAATATAAGACCTATAGGTCAATCCGAAACCAGGATTTCAACACCCTTTCCTTTTTAGATCAGTCTAGATTAGTACGACTTCAGTGCGGCTCCGAGTCGCAATGGCTCGGTCGATTTGCGGAAAGTCCCAGTTAGACTGCCATCGCGCCTCCGTTCTAATTCCTTCTGTACTTCTCTCTACCAGTGTCAATTGAGTTTCTCTCACATCCCTATTTCTGACTATTCGGAGTCTTCCTTTTCTCATATGTTTTTTTGCTGTTAGAGGTGTTCCCCCATCCCGCCCGCCCTTCTCACTAAGCTTTTTGCATACCGCAAGGTGCCGCTGATCAGGGTTGCGGTCCTCCCGCCCACTCCTTCTCTTAGGCTCTGCTAACCAAGGTTTGTGGCGCCCCTAGGCAACTCAAAATTGGGCCGGGCTGTTGTCCATAAGCTCTAATTTTAAGTCAGCCCAACGCCCCAACTGGAAAAGTTCCTAGCGTAGTTGTTAGGACATAAGGGACTGTTCACAAATAGGTCCGGGCTGCCGGATCAAACATTAGGTCCGGGCTGCTAGTCCTGACATTGGGTCTGGGCTGCCGGTTCTGACATCAGGTCGGGGCCGCGAGTTTTGTCACAGATCCGAGCTGCTCCAACTGTCATAGGTCCGGGCTGTAATGCCTGGCGTAAGTGCCGGACTACAACTTCTGGTAGCCTATGGAACCAGACACGATGGAGCCACAACCGACCACGAGCGAAGCAGGAGAGGAGTACAGGGCATCGCCCGATCGAGCACTGAGGGATCTGAAGGAACGAATTAGGCGAGAAGCACCGCTGAGATGGGCTGACCAAACCAATGACGGAGGGCCCGACATGAGAGGCGAACCAGTTGCGACAGAGCCGCAGAAGGCTCTAAGGACGGGTACCTCGAGCGGACGACGAGAAGCGACGAGGCGGCGCTCCCCCGAGTATGAGCGGAGGGACACCATAGCGGACAGGTGCAGAGACGACTGGAGAGAGAATTTGAGGGATTCCTATTGGAGGGACAGAGATAGAGACAGGGCGCCGCCCAGGCGAGTCTTCGACCCCCAGACAGGGGAGTCACATCCACTCCCTCACGAGAGCAAGGATCGCTATATTATTACGCGTAAGGTCTCAGAGTCTCCTACCTTCAGGGGCTATGGTATCACAGAATATCTGGAGAAGTGGGAGCTTCACGCCAGCCGGAGTCAGTGGACGGAGGAAGAGATTATAGAGAACTTCCTATTTAATGTGGACCCAAGTCTTGGTAGGGAAGTTAAGGAAGCTCGACCGAAGGATGGGAAATGGACTACGTACAAGGAGAACCTCGTTGAGCTTTACAAATTGGAGGATAACAAGTATTCCATCAAGGACCTTGAAACAATGACTCAAGATGAAGATGAGAGCGTACGAGCATTGGGGATGCGTTTCTAAAAGATCTCCGACGTGCTGATGAAGAAGGGGAAGATCTCAGAGGTCGAGCGCTGTACCATCTTCATCAGACACTTGTCCAAAGGTAGGCAAAAGAGTATACTTAGAGATCTTCCGCGCGACACGCTTGATTTCCCATAAGTCCTAAAGCTCGCGATAAAGGCAGAGGCAGACGATTACAAGGACTTGGTGTGGAAAGGGATGAGGAGACGTGACTTCTCTCTCTACAAGGAGTATGCCACTGATAGATGTCCTGATTTCAAGGAYTATCCCTGGTCGGAGAAGAATGAGGCCGTGACTGAGGAAGTGAAGGAGATACGGGACATGGTGAAGGGATTAACGAGACAGGTTACAGAGATTGTGACCGCCACAGGGGCCACGGCCTACCGGGACAAACCTGGAGGGCCCTATTCACTTCGCTGGGACCGTAGGAACAACGATCCCTGGAGGAGTGTCGAGGATAGAAATCCTCGGACGCTGACTGATTATCGTACGAGGAGAAGAGAGAGAGACGATGAATCATGGCGACGTAGGGACGATGAGATAGACCGAGACCGCAGAGAACGTGAGCTGTTTGTGCGAGCAAGGAGGCTAGATGATTACCAGCGAAGCCCTCGCTATGAGGCCGATCGGGGTAGAGGCGACTCCCACGGCCGATGGGAGACAGAACAGGGCCGACGAGATGGATATAGGGACGACAAATACGAGAGATCGGACCGAGATGGATATAGGGACGACAGATACGAGAGGCCGGGTCGAGATGGCTACAGAGGAAGTAGATATGAGAGAGGAGATCGGTGGGAACGACAAGATGGGTCACGCGGACGGTTTGAGCGCGGGGGAGATGCGAGAGAGCAGCGCGACGAGTCGCGGGGATGGTACAACCGAGGGGACCGACGCGATGAGTCACGAGGACGATATGACTCGGGGGACCGCCGGAATGATTCGCGAAGGCGGTATGAGCAAGGAGGGTCTGGAGGAGACCTCCGCAACGATTCGCGCGGACGGAATGAGAGAGAGGGATATGGCGTCTCATCAGAACCATATCCTAAGTCGCCTGACCCCAAGGCGGCAAGGAATTCGATCTCTAGAGGCGCAGACGACAGGGCATCTACTCCCAGGAACTCATGCGTCTACTGTAGAGGAGAAGATCATATCAAGAGGGATTGCCCGCACCTCAAACGGGCAATAGATGAGAGACTTGTCGTGCTTGACGACCGCAAGTACGTCAAGTGGGCAGATGATCTGGGAGATGTATCGATGTTCCCTTCGATGAAGGAGAATGTCGAAGCAAGGAGAATAAARACGAGTAAAGGAATGGAGCCGGTCAGGAGTCAGAGCATCAAGATAATCTTTGAGGGGGATATCGCGACCACACCCATAAGGGTGGCAACCACCAAGTCGGCAAGAGGGTCTACATCGAAGAAGACTGGCACGGATTATGTGATGACGGAGAAGGACGGGCAGCGAGTCGATGGAGAGGAGGTTATCCTTTCGCCGCGAAAGCGGGGAGTCAAGAAGTTCTTAATGAAGAGTTCGTTGGACGAGATTGACACGGTTGAGCCACTGAGGCGGGCCCTTCGGCAACCAATGCAGTGCTCTATTCTGGAGTACCTGGCGGCATCGAAGCCGGCTCGTGATGAATTACAGATGATCACGCGGAAGACTCGCATACCTCTATCAGAGGAGGGTCAGGGGGCCCCTAAAGCGGAAGCTTCTACAGTAGCGGTAACGGGGGTGACTGCCAGAGCGGATCGCATGGCGACAGTCCTTCTCGATGGGATGGAAGGTGTGCCTCCAGACAAGTTTTATATACGTGGTAGCGGGTCCGTAGAGACGATTATAAACGATGGAGCGATACTCGATGCTGTGATTGATAACGGCAGTGAGGCTGTCATCATAGACGAGGACCTGGCAGTACAAGTTGGACTGGGCCTCGATAAATCATACCTATTCGAGATAGAGACGGCTGATGGGAGAAAGCAACAGATCACTGGGGTTTGCCACAAGGCAGCCATAGAGGCCCAAGGGGTAAGAGTGACCCTGCCTGTCTTTGCAGTTAAGAACTGTAGCTCTGACCTGCTCTTGGGTCGAACGTGGCTGAGCCACGTGCATGCGGTGACGATAGAGCGACCTGATGGGAGCCAAACATTGTCCATTAGGAAGCCAGACGGGACGCGGGTGATGATTGAGACAGTGGAGCCTCGGGACCCGAGGAACAGAGTAGCTCTCGCTGTGGGTGCAAGACCCAGTGATCAGATTAAATCGTTACCTATCTCCGGCCGCGCGGTGCGATTTCGCGAGAAGAGATTCGGACCACTGCTTACAGAGGAAGAAGGTCGGATCGTGGAGGTAGAAGATTTAGGGAGTCGGCTAATAGTGGACGGCAACTCGTACCAAAAGGAAAGAGATGAGGAATTTGGCGGTGTGGTATCCGTGTCTTTTTTAAGGGCACGGCCCCCTATGGGGGGCTACCCAAGCGACACAAGCAAGTAGCTCAAAAAGTTCAGCCAGCGGCGGTGGGCCGCGAGCGAACGGCATTCGAAGGGGTATCAGAAGAAGAGATCGCGAAAGAAATCAAAGAAAGAAAAAAAAAGGAGCCACAACGCCTAACGGAAGAGAAAATAGCAGGGATGGACATTGGAGATAGAAATCTGACCCCACAGGAGCGAGAACGTGTGATAGAAATCCTGAAGACATGTGATAAGGCCATAGCTCTTAGTGACGCGGAGCGCGGTAGGATTGACCCTCGATACGCTAAGCCAGCAAGGATTTACACGATACCACATGTTCCCTGGAATGACGCGGGATGGAAATACGCCCAGAAGGAGAAGGAATAAGTTATCACTTTCCTGAAAGAAAAGATGGTTTCCCATGTTGCGGAGCCGTCTGATGGCGCTTATGCTAATCAATGGTTCTTCCTACGAAAGCCGAATGGCAAGATCCGATGGATCCAGGACCTTCAGAAGGTCAACGAGGTGACGATACGAGACGTGGGCTCCGTGCCACACGCCGATTTACTGGCAGAAGGCGCCGGAGGTAGGTCGATTTATTCCGTCTGTGATCTGTTCTCAGGCTATGATGAGGTACCACTTGACCCTAGAGACAG